CAGTACCTGATTTAGCGTTTTGACCGCCCTAAGCTAACTAAGAATATGCGCCTCCTACCTGTCCTGACCTTTCTTTTCATTCACTTACAGACTTACAGGTGCAGCTAATTCAATTACAAGTACAGATAGTCCAATCAATGCACGGTTTCTACCAAAATCTGGCTGTAGATTCTAATTACCATTTACTTCAAAGTTGTCAATGTGCCAAAAATTACTTTTACCCTGAGGGTGGACGCCAACCCTTCTCGGGGACTTTTTGGCGGAATCGGGACGTCACTTTATCAGTCTTGTTTTTCTTGTTAAAAATTGTGTTGTGGCGGATGTTAGTGTCTAATAATGGTGGATTATTAACCACTAAGTGTTTAGGAACATGCACAAGTGTTGGCAAGTGAAACAAAATAGCGGAAAGTGTCTTTCGACGTTCCCTCAAAAAGTCCACCAGGCTCCAGTAAATCCTAACACATTTACTGAAACCTAGGGAAAGGGGGATTGACTTGACTGCCACTTACTTTGACTTGATTTATTACTTTGACCACAAGTGCTATAGAATTTGTAAACATTTTAACACTTGACATTGGCTAAGTGCACAAGCCGTGCGAAGTCATTTAGAAAAATTTTAAGAATCAAAAAACCCGACTGCTTAATTATACTTCAAAATAAAAACTGAAAAGAAAAAAACAAGTCCAGTAGTCTATAATTCTGTTAATAAGGAACAAAGCTACTTTAACAGTCGGGACCCATTAGATATTCAAGAATACATAATATTTTTCAACAGTGGGTCCCGACTGTTAAAGTAGCTTTGTTCCTTATTAACAGAATTATAGATTACTGGACTTGTTTTTTTCTTTTCAATTTTTATTTTAAGTATAATTAAGCAGTCGGGTTTTTTGATTTTTTAAATTTACCTTTTTTATTTCACACTTTTTAGTTAGTTAGTATTTTAAGACGGTATATACCGTAGTCTTGGTACTTCAGTAAGGGAATTAATATCTCGGGAATTATTAAGTACCATGCGTCGGTCTAAGAGATTGATTTATTAAGACATATAAAGACTTTACCAGCGGGGTCAAGGCTACAGATGGGGCCTCAATTTTCGCAAAAATGTGTGAAGTTAAATCAAGTCGTTACATAAATATCTTTAATGTATGTAATTTTTTATAGTAAACTAGCACTTACTCAAAAAGTCATCTTTTGTTTATGTTTTTTTTTAATAGTTTAGCAGTAAATATAAAATTCATTTACTTTTATTCGTCGACTATTTAAAATTGGCAGTGGCTGCATTGTCATGTCAATGCCGGACGTCTAAGATTGTGATATACACAAATTCAGTGTCAGTCCCTAGTCTCATAATTTGATATACCTACATAATTCACAGAAACGCAATATGTAGATGCCAGAAGTTAACTTCAAATGTTTTTAATCACCCTATATACAATACCAATCAATGACGTTTATGTCGCAGGTTGAAGAAAGCAGTAATTCCCGTCTGTTGATTTGGACAATGGTGGCAACTGCCTTAGATCACTAAATTAAATAATTATGCAATCACCAAAGCAAAGTTTATAATATTTTATTAAACTAAAGGCGCATAATAAAATGTTCATAGCGTTAGGTAGAGCACCATAGCAATCTCATTTATTATCAATTTATAGTTGTCTTTATAGTTTTCTTTTAAAGCGTTCACATTTAACAGGTCAAAAACTTTGTGTTCGACCCTTTTTTATTGGTAGTGTAAAGCTCGAATGAAGAGTACTCCCAGTAGTGCAATCATGGCAATTATTTTCCAATTTTTTTTTGTTTAAAAAAATAAAAATACCGAGTAACCTATCAATGTTAAGCACAAATGCTAAGTAACTTTTACAAATATAATCAAATAAACGTATTACTTACTTTATTTTTAAATCTTTTTTTATCAATGAAATACTTATCTTATTCTAACTATCTATACTAATATTATAAAGAGGCAAGATTTGTATGTTTGTAACAAATAATCTGTCAAACTACTAAACCGGTTTCAAATATTAATTCAACATAAGGTAGCTACATTATTTAATATAACATTTTTCTTTATTTAAATACATTTTGTCCGAGTGACATAGGCTATATTTTATCCCGATAAATAAATTTCGCCCGTACAATGCCCGGGTGGATCACTAGTAAGTATAATATAATATTATAGATGCGAAAGTGAGTTTGTCTGTTGCGCTTCCGTGCCCTAATAGCTAAACCGAATAAAATGAATTCCCATATAGAAGTAGATGGGAACTTGGTTCTTAGCTACAACATCGCAATACTTATAGGCGTAGGGTGATGAAAGGGGTGATTTACCTATAAAAATCTACATTATTTACTTTGAATTTTGCAGAATTATTACAAAACCAATATTATCGCGAGCTGATTAATAAATACAGGGATTCCAATAAGTATGTACTTACTAGCGAAAAATGGGTTATTTGTCATTATATATACCTTTTTTGTAACATTGAGTAATATCGTTAAAAAAAATGAAAACAGTAAAATTCTGAGTTTTTCATTAAAATTCAGTAATCATTAATACCTATTATGATAATATATTTTTCATCATTTAATAAGAAGGAACTGTATCACAGTTTTATTGTTAGTACTTCGTATAGGATCAGATACTGCGAATACCCCATTTTCTTTCTTTTACATAGTACACCGCGTTATCACTTTGTCATCGTTGTAACTTTTTAAATATTTGTCGAAATGGCATAGTGTTAAAATCAAAGTTTATCTTCTTTAAATATCAAAAGTGGTAAAAGTATTTGTTTTGATAAAAAAATATTTGTTAATACAAAATGTGCATTTTGGAAATAGATATCATATAATATTTTAGTTTTGATTCACTATTTTAGCGGTAATGACTTACACATTAAAAATAGATATATGGTGTCACGGATTTTTTTTTAGAACTATTTAATAGATACATTTTCACTCTATATTACATTCATGTAACTTTTATTGTTTTTGCAGTGCAGGCCAAAATGGCTCTCAGATGGGAGATTTTTTTCCGTCTTATGTGACACTTATTGTAATATATTGCCCAATTCACTCAATAACTACATAAATTATTATATATATGTAATTATCATATATGAGCTATATTACTGTTAAGTTTCATCAAAATCCATTCAGTATTTTTTAAGGTGAAAGAGTAACAAAGGTCCATACAAACGTAAGAGAAATTAAAAGCGTAAGTGGTTAATATACAACTTTAAAGCGTTGTAGATCCTAAACAATCATATAAAATGAAAAATGGTGTTAGGAACCTAAACATGATTTTTGATTATCTAGACAGTGATACCCCACTCGACATATTTTGTCAACTTATTTTTTTTACTTCGTTACAATATGGCGCCTAATTTTGCCCATATTGAATTTTGATTACTATTATATCTTTAGTAGCACTCCCATGATTGAGACGAATCGATTGATGTATAAATCATCAAAATCGGTCCAGGCGTTTGGTCTCTAGTGTGCCACAAAGGAACAAACATACATATATAGACTGTTAAACACAACCCTGTCCGCGCGTCGCGCTTCGCGCTCTTGCATTGCGCAGCCGGGTAAAAAAACCCTTCTCGGGGATCAAAAATATTTTAATTCAAAATAAGAATGGGAATGGATAGACTGACTAATTCAAAACTACTTTGTTTATAAAACTTATACTGATAGGCAATATTTTCCAACTTGTTCGAGAGTGGAAAAAAAAACGCTTTCAAACGGTTTTTCATGAATAACTGTGTAAATAAATATTTAATGTAAAAAATCAATCGAATAAAATTGAAGATTATGAAAATCAAAAAAAAAATAGTCGGTTTAAAATATCACTACCTCTACTGAATCCATACGGAGTGATAGCTTTTTAAAGCTTGGTTCTTCTTTGCCAAACGCCAAAAGCGAGCTTCAATGTGAAATATCCCAAAAACAATGCATTTTTGAGCAGAGAAAAATGGTCCCTATTTTTTGGACTAAGCCTTCTGTCAGAGAATTTCGTTTACTTTACCCTCTCATCATCCCTATTATGAGTACATGATGCTCAGTTGGGATTTGTATTGCCTAGTTAATTTAATCGAGTTTCGTTCGACGCAGGACGCAGAAATGTTTGTTTCAGGCAAGCAAGTCAAGTGAGTGGACTAAGGACTTTGGTTGCTTTATATTTGGCTGCATTTTTTATGATGTCCGTCTGCCCCCCTTGGCAATGGCCTTGATGTAAGTCTCAGCACAGCGCCGCCGGCCGTCCTCTTGGTCCTTGCGCCCTAGGCTCAAGCCTTATTAGCCTTTTTTTACCCGGAGAAATGCTTTACGCATACACCACCGCTGGGTAGGCGTCTGGGTTATGTGGGACTCCTCACCTCACCTCCCGCCCACCCACTCAGCCAACCCATTGGGCAGGCTCAGCGTCTGCTCAGGATGGGGGGCATTACCCACTAAAACTCCGGGATGTGCCCTCCTTGCCAGCAGTGGTGGCTTGGGATCCTTATTGTGACTCGACCAGGCCGCCACCTGCCTTATAAGCTTGTGGGTAAATCAGGCCAACAAAAAGTTCCCCGAACAATTGAGGACACAGAGAGACCGGATAGGACAAAAGTATGCCGGTGTCCCCAAAAAAATAGAACTGCGTGCAACGCACACAGTGAACTTTAGTCCGCGTTGTGGTTTATCTTGTACCCTACCAACTTATTGTTGTTGCTGAGATTTGTGCTATTAGTTGTTCTGAAAGAGTAAGCTACTTATGTCGGAAGAGGATAATGCCTTCTTGAGCATTGTAACCCGTGAGCAAAGGCACATCGGCGCCTTGCAAGCTATTCCTCAGTAGCGCGGTGAGAAAGACGTCCAGGTGATTCGACTTCACAGCTGTGAGGAACGGCAACGCCACGGCGCTGTGCAAAGTCAGCATTTTTATCTAGTGCGCTATTAGCTCATTGACGGTGCTGTGATACATGCTATTAGTTGTCCTAAAAGACACAGCTACTTACGTCGAAAGAGTATGATGCCTTCCTGCGCATTGTAGCCTGTTAGCAGGGGTACATCGGCCCCTGGCAAGCTGTCCCTCGGTAGCGCGGTGAGGAAGGCCTCCGGATGATTCGGTTCCACAGCTGGCAGGAACGGCAGTGCAACGGTGCTGCGTAAATCCGCGCTTTTACCCGGCGCGCCAGTTATACGCGCGCCTGCCTTCACGATCAGCTCACTTGGCGTAGCGCGCAGATAACCTGTGTGGATATTTTTTTGCATACAGAAATGGTTCAAGTTTATGCATAGCATCATATTGTCAAAATGTAGATATTTATTTAATATAAACATATCAAAGGGTCGATGCTTTAAGCTGTTGCAAAATGTGGGATAAAATTCGTAGTATAGAGATGTTTGCTACCCTTTTGACATAAGAAAATTAGAAGGGATTGTTACCTAGTAACTCAGCAGTGTTGTTTGTATCGATGCCGAGCTCTCTACCCAGCTCAAACGCTCGCTCTAGTGGGTTAGTAGCGAGTGCCCAAGGTGACAGCGCGAGGCCGCTCTCTGCTATAGCGTTGTGGAACAAACCCTGGGTACATAAACATGAAACGTTTAGCCTTAAATATTCTTTATCAATTTGTCATAAGGCATTACGTAAAATTTTAAATGGAACAGAGTCAGAAAAATATAGAACCAATGCAGCAGGGTGTGTGGGTTGATGAGTGCCTCCAGGGGCGTATTTACCATAGGGCTAACAGGGCCATGGCCCGGGACGGCAGGCTGCGAGGGATGGCTGCTAGAGCTACGAGGGGTGGCAAAAGTCATTTAAAGTTATTCGTGACTGACTTAGGTATATTTTGATTTACTAAATACTAAACTCTTTGCATCCCACAAATTGTAATTGGCACGGAGCGCTAGATTATAAAATACACCCTGGTGCCACTTGTAAAGACTATTATTTATTCAATGAATTCGAAACTTTAAATGGTCTTCCAAAACGTAGTTGAAGATAGGTTCTTTTTTAAATCACCAAACCGCACAAAAAAACCGTAGTGCACTATAAAAAAGGTTTAGTTTATGTAGGTATGTATGTATGTGTAAATATTAGTGGCTTCCATGTTACTTTTGACCTCGTGTAGTCTTATTTTTTTATTTGTTGACCTTCTTATAAAACGCAGAATAATATATTAAGAAAAATATCTTAAGAATTTGTAAACATTAATTGCTTGACACGGTCCTTAAAATGTCGTCCTCGCTTATTCTAATCTTTATTTTAAGAAAACGTACTTAATGTTTCATGCTTAACGGAGCATCAATGTAAGTTGTGTAGTTACTTGACCTTTGTCTCAATAGGAGATGTATTTAAAGTAGGCAACGAACAGAAGAGTAATAAATAACTTATTTGCAATGCAATGTGACTGTCATTAAGGCACTGAGATATTATAAAATTTTACATGTAAGTACCTATACCTACATACTAGCTTATCAAAACTATTTACTATTTTTAATACTTAATACTAATACATAGTCAGTTCAAAGTTAAATACGTATAGGAACTTTTATATGTAAGTACGTAGATGTGTTTGGGTAAACCTAGGATAAATTAATGGACCCTGATCAGAATTACTGATTGTCAAAATTAATGGAAAACAAGTGGAATCGATAATAATAAATCGCCGTTGTTTCCTAAGTTTACACGCACACATCAAAGACGTCAACAAGTTTTTACGTAATAAGTAATTAAAGTTCATACTCTCACTTGTCGCGAATTAAAAAAAAACGACACGTTACTTTGATATGCTTTAAATCTTATTGACGTTTCTGACTCGGACTGATTGCGGACTACGATAATGAGGAATGCACTCAAGGAAGAAAGAGTATCCCGTAACTTTCTATAAATACCCCGTTCAATGGAACGGAAAACATGTCTCACTCGTTCTCAATACGGATTCATTGGCGTAGATTCTGTGACGGCACAAAAGAGGCCAGAAAAGAAAAAAAACTTTTGAATCGGTGATACATCGGAGACTTATTAAGACATCGTTATTATTACTCAGGCAAAGAACAACCTGCAGTTTTCCATCAACTTTAACTTTCAAGAGTCATGATGATGAGAACGTTTACCTCTGAGGCTTTGGACAGCATGTGTAGATGGACGGAGGCTGCGCCCGCCGACTCCCCGAATATTGTGACCCTGGCCGGGTCGCCGCCGAACGCCTCAATGTTGTCCCGCACCCACTTCAGCGCCATCACTTGGTCCTAATATCAGCAAAATTTATAAAATATTACAAAAAGACGCGTATTGATCCTACCTTTTCTTTGTATTTGGAAAATGCATAAGGCATCCTTCGTCAACCGGGTGAGCCAAACAAAGGTATCTGCGGCTCGGTGAAATCAGCAGGGCCCTACCCAGTAACAACCAGACAATACTCCTGCATCGGTCATCCAACTCGCAGTGCGGGAACATGACCAAAAAGCATATCGCAATGAGCCGTGACGAAGCAAGCTGGCAAGGTGAGAATGGCTGGTGTATATTAGTAATGCAAATCTGTTGCACCAGTTACCTTTGCTTGTGGAATTTGCCACCGCTTAATATCAGGTGGGGTAGAGTCGCATCCTCTACAGCGCGATCACTTGATACTAATATGACCAAAATGTAAATAATATTACTAAAAGACGCGTATTGGTCCTAACATGATCAAAAAGCATATCCTTATGAGCTGTGAAGAAGCAAGCCGACAAGGTGAGGATGGCTGGTAGGGATTGCAATCCGGAAAAACGTATCCGGTAATTCGGCGGATCCAGCATCATCAAACGTTTATTAGATCCACTTAACATCAGTCGAAGAAAAGCCATTTGCCTACTTAACTATAAAAAACTATTACAATCAATACATAGATAGGTATTTTAGAAGGTTTCTTAGATATTCTGTGTATTTTAGCGACAAAGCAAATTGTCTGCTATTTACAAGATTATTGAAATAAATGGCATAGTGTGTAAATCATATTACAATCCTTAAAAATCATAATAAATTATTCTATTCAAGAGACAAATTTTAATAAGAACTTTTTTTTATTATATACTTAATTAAAGTAGTACAAAATAAATCAACAGCTAGATCGTATCAATAAACTAGAAACTTAGAAAACACAAATAACAGTTTCACCTCACGACAAAAATAAAACGAAAAATGTACGAGGGACGCTGTGTATTATGCAAACAAACTATGAAGTATTGGCAACTACGAGAGAAACTGTGGTGATTTGGAAAGCTTTAGTTTAATTGTATAAACGCAAGTGCAACTACTGCCTATTGTAACAAGTTTCTCGTCGGAAAAACTATTGCCCATTAAGACGCGGACTCTGAGCAGTTTTATGCAACGAACTATAGCAAATTTATGCATAGATACTGAGCCTGCTTGAGGAGCTCGATGGCGCAGGTGGTTAGCGCGTTCGGCTGCGATCGTTGAAGTTGAGCAACTTTCGCAGTGGTCGGTCATTGGATGGGTGACCAAAAATTTACTATCTCGAGCTCCTCCGTGCTTCGGAAGGCACGTTAAGCCGTTGGTCCCGGCTGCATTTGCAGTCGTTAGCACCCACCAATCCGCACTGGGCCCGCGTGGTGGGTCATGGCCCAATCTCCCTATTCCATCCATAGGGAAGGCCTGTGCCCCAGCAGTGGGGACATTAATAGGCTGATGATGATGATGATGATGACTGAGCCTGCTAGAAATCTTCAAAATTAACATGACTGAAATTTTACAGTTAGTCCGCGTAAACTTCACGTCACAAGCACAAGTTACCAATAACGGAAACTTAAATCAGGAATATATATTTGTTTTTTTTTATAGATAACTCCGACAAATGAATCAACTTATAAAGGAAGAGTTATTTAGTTTGTAAAACAGTAGGTATTTCACTGTTATTTCAATGTCTGTTAGTGAATCGCATATCGTGTCGTAATATTTTTTAAATACTTAGTAAATTAAATCAAAAGAAAACACTTATGTGAAAAAACCGGCCAAGTGCGAGTCGGACTCGCGCACCGAGGGTTCCGTAGAAACCGGTAGGTATATAATAATTATAAAATAAAATAAATTGTTATGTAACTAAAACTTTTAACGATTTTAGCAATTTTTCCTTTATCTGTTCTATAAGACGTTGCTGCGTACCAAATTTTAAGATTCTGAGTTCCCGAAAAGGACCCTGTAGTTTTTGATTCCCTTGCGGGTTTCGAAAATTTGCAGAAATTTGAGGCATACACGGCTGTATCTTTTGATTGTGTTGGCTTCGAGTTTGATTTTTGCACAGCTGCAAAGGGCAGTAGACCTGAGTACTTCATATAAATTTCAGCTTTATACCTCCACGCGTTCCTGAGAAAAAGGGTCTTGACAGACGGACGGACGGACAACAAAGCGATCCTATAAGTTATGTAACAAACACATCAAACTATGTATATAATCTCATAGTTTTTCTCTGATGTTTAAGTAATTATCTGCAACAATACAAAGACTGGGATATCAACTCATTAAAATGCTAAATTACTCATTTGGGAATCGCGAAAAATAAGAGCATTGCATGAATGTAGTTAGTAATAATGTCGATAACGCGCGAGTGATTGTAATTAATTGTATCGTATTGTGGACGTCCATAGGCTGCGGTAACCCTAACCATCATCATCATCATGTCAGCCGTACGATGCCCACTGCTGAATATAGGCCTCCCCCAAGGATCTCCACACCGATCGGTTACCATATACGGTAACCATCAAGATGTGCGTTTTGTTAACTGTAATACTGGGTATCCATCATCATCGGCCTATTAATGTCCCTATTGCTGGGGCACAGGCCTTTCCTATGGATAGAATAGGGAGATTGGGCCATGACTCACTAAGCAAGTCCAGTGCAGATTGGTGGGTACTCCTACACCTGGGTGGGTAGGTAATACTGGGTATTAAATACTCGTATTCTCACCTTAAGTCCCATGTTCCCAGGTACCTCATCGTTTTCAAGGCTGAGGAAGCCCAGCGCACCGAGCCTGTAGTTGAGCGTCACCAGCACCACACCAGCACCGACCAGATGGTCTGGGCCGTACAGGAATGCATTCCCAGAGCCCACGGCGAAAGCTCCCCCGTGGATCCACACCATGACAGCTAACTTGGGGTTGTACCTGTATTTTTTTTAATTAAGGTTTCAAAGTTATTTCGTTTTCCAACTGCCAATTTATCACCGTACCTTTTAAAAAATATTTATCTTACACAGCGTAAAAAAACACTTTAACAAAAGAAAAATTCGCTGTGTTAGATATTAGTAGAATATACGATTGAAATGAACAGCGATGTCGTGAGTCTCGACAAACTCCATGGATGAGTAGGTTGCGCATCAGCTTTCAATAATATGACTCCATTTCTAACTTTTATTTTTATATTGACTTTGATCTTTTTTATTTCCACAAAACAAATGCTCCCAGATACTTCCGGATCAGCAGAGCAATATTAGTTATATAGTTAATCTAAGGTCATATACCATTTACCATGATACACATTTATTTAAAGAGAGTGCCTCCGCTGCCGGCATCGGTATAAAAAAATATCATTATTGGGAACCAAACCAGCAACTACCGATAGCAGAAATCTCAAACAATGGCTTCTTATTTATAGTTATAACATTTCTAAGTTTGAGTTCGCATAATCTATTCATTGCGTTTTCACAGAGTAAACCTTACCCAGTTAGTTTGTCAGGCAGCGCCGGCGAGTACACGTTCAGGTATAGGCAGTCCTCGTCTCCCTTGTAGGTGTCGAAGAGCATGAACCGGTGCGGGCAGACGGCGCCTTCTTCTAGAGCGTCCCGTACTCCAGACCACGCCTCCAGCGGGACTGGTGGACGGAACCGGAGTGCGCCGCGTGGTGGCTGCGCATATCTGCACAATTACAGGGTTAATAAGACTTGGCAAGTAAAAGAAAGGCATGGAAAAGCTGGCTTACTTCCCCAGCAGATACCAGATTGAAGAGCTAATAAGAATTTGCTTATAAGCTAAATAAGTTCAGATGATTTGTTTTTACTAACATGATTATCTTGATCTCAGCATTGAGTTCCTAATAAATAACACAGACAATATAGGATATTTTTTCTAGTATTTTTTTTCTTTAGATTTAAACATCTTGCAGTTACATGCTTGAAAATCTAACAATTTAGGTTATATAATATGTATGTCAATGTTGTTTCTGGGCAACATTTTGTCTAACCAATGCCCCTTGTATATCGAATAATAGTACTCCTGCGCTGCGCATGTATGGCGTCGCCTGTCGATGACGTGTGAGATGTAAAAATGATATATTTTGTGAAGATCACATTATCGGTCCCATCTGTTGCATTGCACATTTTGGTAAAAATAAAAACGCGAAAGCTGTTTTGTTGATGAACTATGTTCTTCGCCAAGGACGTGGACGTAGCTTCGCTATACAAATTACCTTAGTGCCCTTCTTCTTCATTTAAATGATTTTTGGTGAATTGGTTGTAAGAAGACAAACTAACGCCTGCCTTATTTATGACTACTCGATCGCTTCTTAAATGTAGTCGTAAACTCGTAAATTATTCAAAGGACACACATTTCAATGGGCTTTAAAATAATATTCCTAATTTTATTGACCCTCAAAAAATACAATGGCATACATTGCCTAACCTAACCTAACCTTTAGGTTTCAAATTGTATTTTTTAAAAGATCATGTGATATTTTTTTTAGAATCATTTAAATAGTTCCTAATACTAAGTACCTACTTAATATTAATTAGCCAAAAGAGCATGAATTGCAACCAATATATTTCGGTAGTAGCAAGATTCATAATATTATTATTAACATTATAAAATGTATTAAGCGTATCCATTGTGGTTAGGGGTAGAGTTTCTTCAAGTGGCGAATAAACTATACTTAGGTAAATTAGGTATCGAGAGTGTAATGTTTCGTTTGCGCAATAGAACCTTAGTTAAATCTGCCCATTTATTTCGTGTCCGAGGAAGTTATTAGCAACGGTTACAAATTGTTTACTCTACGGAACAATTTCTTGTCGAAACTATGGCATAAGATGACTATCGCGTAATTCCGTTTACTTTTGTCCTTTCAATATTTCATTTAGATATTAATCAAGGTCAATTTTATTGGTTTGCAGTTAGTGATCTAAATGACGATAAACTTGTATGCACTTATGATTTTATTTATTTTTTAAGCATTTAACTGCTAGATGTTTAAATCTAAAGAAAAGTTTACTAGAAAAAAATCCACGCGGACCAGGCAGCGGACGGGACTCGAACCCGCATCCTTCGCTATCCGGGCGAATGCACGGACCATTATGCTACCACGGCCCTATTAGCCGCGTCGAAATTTTCCTAGCCTTAAGCTGCAAGGCAGCGCCATCTCTTCGCATTGTAGGTAACCCACAATGTCAAATGAATACTTTTTCAAGTATTAAACATTTGAAAGAAGAAATAGCAATTACAGTTATGATTTTATTTATTTTTTAAGCATTTAACTGCTAGATGTTTAAATCTAAAGAAAAGTTTACTAGAAAAAGATCCACGCGGTCCAGGCAGCGGACGGGACTCGAACTCGCATCCTTCGCTATCCGGGCGAATGCACTGACCATTATGCTGACTCGAACCTCGAAATTTTGAAAACCCACAACGCGAAGAGATGGCGCTGCCTTGCAGCTTAAGGCTAGGAAAATTTCGACGCGGCTAATAGGGCCGTGGTAGCATAATGGTCAGTGCATTCGCCCGGATAGCGAAGGATTTTTATCCGTGCGGTGACGGAGAAAGAATACAACTCACCGCCCCTTCTCTTCCCGTGGGTGTCGTAAGAGGCGACTAAGGGATATCGGAGCTTCCATCCGCTCTGCTGGTGGTAGGGTGCCTAGCACCCGCCTGGTTTGTTACCACCGTGCGCATGGTGAAAAACCCGTGAAGTGCTTCTCGCGCGTTTTGGGGTCAGCCAGCGTACAACCAGGGCTCGAGTGGAGGTTGTCGCGACGGATTCGGTCCAGGGCTAGGCATCCGTGGAACCGATGCCGGGAGGACTGCATCGATCCGCCGGCCAGGGAGACCCGTAGAAACGGCTGTCCCGCTGGCCGCCCGTGGCACAGTACAGGGGCCCGAGCGTTCCTAACCAGTTCGCGAGGCTGCCCCATCATGTCACGCATAATCTCGGGGTGGACCGTCGTGCCGGTTGGTGACCGGGGCGTGGGGTCCCGGCGGCCACTTCCGGGGGGGTGCGGGGGCTCTTCCGTCCGGCGGGTCGGCGTATATCCTCTGCAGGCAATCATAATCATTCGGGGAAACATGCCTCCCTAATTTGCCCGGTCTTGTCGCGACAACGTCCACTCGTTTCACGTCTCTTTTTCACTTCCATAATGGCAGCTCCTAAAACAAAGTTTGGACGTTCAGCGGTGCACACCCCCACGCCTTCAACGCTGTTTGAGGTCGAGTTCTGCAACATACGCGGACTCCACTCTAACCTCAACGCTGTCCACCACCATCTTGAGACAGCACGGCCAGCATTGTTCCAAACAAATACTTCCGCCTGCTGACACAGGCCACCTTAATTATCCCGGCTACGTGCTTGAAGAGTCCTTCAAAGCGAAAGCCGGTGTATGCCTGTATGTTCTTGCGGATGTTTGTTGTCGCCGTCTCCGCTGCTTGGAAGATCCCTCCTTCTCCATGCTGGGGGTACACGTCGACTCTGGCCCCCTGGTCTCTACAGATCCCACACCGGCGATGTTGAGACAACTCGACTTTTCGAACACCTTAGTCGGGCAGCAGATGACGCGCAGGAACAATTTCCCAATGCAGAATTGGTGTTTTTGGGGGACTTTAATGCTCACCACAATTTGTGGTTAAGTTCCTCCAAAACTGACCATGCAGGGATCTCTGCTCACGCATTCGCTCTCACGCATGACTTGAAGCAACTGGTTGATCAGCCCACCAGGATCCCAGATATTCCAAGTCAAGCGCCTTCTTTACTGGACCTTCTGCTCACGACCCATCCACAGGGCTATCAGGTTGTGGTAAGAGCCCCCCTGGGCTCGTCAGACCACTGCCTGATATCTGCCAAAGCACCACAGGCCAAGCCTCCGCGTCCAGCAGTGGTCAAGCGCCGTATCTGGCATTATGGGTCGGCAGATTGGGACGATATGCGTGACTACTTTGCGTCCGTCCCCTGGAAGCAGCGTTGCTTCAGTGACAGGGACCTATCGGCCAGTGCCGTTGCCATTACTGAGGAGATTATAATGGGTATGGAATACTATATTCCTCATTCTGATCTCATCAGTGAGGGCACGCGTAACCTCTGGTTCAATCACGACTGTGCTGAAGCTGCTTCGCGCAAGCAAGCGGCATATCGTGCTTGGATCAGAGGGCGCGCTCTCAAGGATCCCGAGGTCGATTTACTCAAAGCAGCCTACAATTTTGCTTCCAAGGCCTGTAAGAAGGCTTACATTAGAGCGGATGCCCAGCGCGTTGCACGTGTTGGCCAGGAATTTATGACGCATCGTACGGGCTCCCGTAGCTACTGGCGTCTGGCCAAGGCCGTGCAAAAAAACTTCTGCGAGCCCTGGCTGCCACCTCTGAGATGCCCAGACGGAACACTAGCCCATAAGCCGCAGGAGAAAGCCGATTTACTGGCAAAACTCTTTGCGGCTAACTCCCGAATCGATGATTGCAATGCACTGCCACCATCATTACCTCACTGTGGCACAACGATGCCTGATATTAAAATCAGGCAGCGCGAGGTTCGTGCCGAATTGCAATCACTCGACGTCCGGAAAGCTAGTGGACCTGATGGCATCCCAGCAGTAGTACTCAAAAAATGTGCAGCGGAGTTGTCTCCCGTGCTCACGCGCTTGTACCAATGCTCGTATTCTTTGGGGCGTGTGCCGGAGACTTGGAGAGATGCCAATGTGCAACCGGTGCCCCAAAAAGGGGATCGCTCAGACCCGGCAAACTACTGGCCAATAGCAGTCACCTCAGTTTTATGTAAAGTTTTAGAAAAGGTCCTTAATAACCATCTGACCCGCTACCTAGAGGATCACTCCTTGATTAATGATCGTCAATATGGTTTTAGACCGAAACGATCGACGGGTGATCTTCTAGCGTACTTAACTCATATCTGGGGTGAGGCTATCGACAAGCGTGGCGAGTCGTTGGCTATCAGCCTTGACATTGCCAAGGCGTTTGACAGGGTCTGGCACAAAAGCCTTCTCTCCAAGCTTCCGGCATACGGTCTGCCAGCCCAGTTCTGTTCTTGGGTAGCTGACTTCCTGCATGAGCGTAGAATTCGTGTCCTTACGGATGGTAGCAGTTCGCGGTTCATGTCAGTGAATGCCGGCGTTCCCCAGGACTCCGTCCTATCCCCCACTCTCTTTCTGCTGCATATCAATGACTTAATTCCTCTTGGGAATATTCATTGCTATGCAGACGATAGTACAGTGCATGCGGGGTATCTCGGACAAGCAGCGGCTGGGCTGGCGGTAACCAAGGAGAAACGTGAGAATCTTGTCATTGAACTCAATCAGGCTTTGGACCACATTTCCGAATGGGGTACCAGGAACTTGGTTGAGTTCAATGCCAAAAAAACTCAGGCTTGCGCTTTCACGGCAAAAACATCGTCATTCCTTCCCCTTCCATCTCTTCAGGGCACAACACTACCGCTGCAGAGCAACATTTCCATGCTCGGTATGGAAGTTCGCTCAGACCTGAATCCAAAGAACTACATCGAAACCGTGATCAAAACAGCTTCACGCAAACTCGGAATCCTGAACAAGGTGCGGCGTTTTTTCACACGCAAGTGCGGTCCTGCGTGGAATATTGCTCGCACCTCTGGGATGGCTCCGCCAAGTACTTGCTCGATGCTTTGGATAGGTTACAGCGACGCGCGATCCGCATCATAGGCGATGAGGAAGTGACTAAACACCTTGAGCCTCTTCAATTACGCCGTGACGTGGCGTCACTAAGCGCGTTCTATCGTCTGTACCACGGCGAGTGTTCTGAGGAGTTATTCTCTCTTATCCCACCTTCTCCTTTCCTTCAGAGGACCACGCGCGCTGGCCTACGTTGTCATCGTCTAACTGTGGCCACAATTCCAACGCGTACAAAGAAATTTGGTGACTCATTTCTTTGTCGCACTATCCGTAAATGGAATGCTCTGCCCGCTCACGTGTTCCCTCCCTCTTACAACCTGGGATCCTTTAAAAGAGGCGTGAAGAAGCAACATGCAGGCCGGCAGGGTGAAGATGGCTGGTGTGGCAGGTAAAACTGCTGTATCAGCTATCGTCACGTCTGGACTTCACCTTCACTTAACATCAGGTGGGGTGGAGTCATTTGTCGGACCTATCTATATATAAAAAAAAAAAAGGATGCGGGTTCGAGTCTCGTCCGCTGCCTGGTCCGCGTGGATTTTTTTCTAGTAAACTTTTCTTTAGATTTAAACATCTAGCAGTTAAATCATAACTGTAATTGCTATTTCTTCTTATAAATGTTTAATACTTGAAAAAGTATTCATTTGACATTGTGGGTTACCTACAATGCGAAGAGATGGCGCTGCCTTGCAGCTTAAGGCTAGGAAAATTTCGACACGGCTAATAGGGCCGTGGTAGCATAATGATCAGTGCATTCGCCCGGATAGCGAAGGATGCGAGTTCGTGTCCCGTCCGCTGCCTGGTCCGCGTGGATTTTTTTTTTCTTGTATGCACTTTCTTCCCTGAATGGAAATCGAATGTCCCATTACTTAAATCCTATATGTTGACATGCATGACTTAGGAGGCCAATAAGCCTAGAAACATTAAAAAATACTTTTTTAGAAAATTCTACCTCATACCCTGAGCCATACCCTTTTGACAATTGGAATTCTACACTCTTAGTAGGTAATTACAGTAAAATAAGCTTAGTTTTTCATGGCGTAACCTTTATATCCGATAAATACAAGAATAGAAGCCTGCCTTGATGTGTACCTTACAATAATTACAGTTAAATAGCACTAATGAAACTGAAACTGTAAGCGATAGTTATAGCCATAGCAATCCCGTTAGGCGATTGGCCCTCTAGTCGACACTTCCACAATTTTCCATTAGGTAACATACCTGATGCCCTTGAAGCTGTAGTATGAGGACTGTTCCACTGTCCTGGTGGCCAGTTTCCTGCCTCGTAGCGCGCCTAGTTGCGTGAACACAATGGGCCCGCCGCCGACCCGCATACGGTCTACCAGCGCGTGCACCAGCCGCGCGGCGCGCGCCGGCACCGCCTGCAGCCGCCTTAGTGCCGCCTTCAGGCCCACACTCTCGCTCACTGTACTCGATAGTCGACGCCATGCTCCCGTGATCTGTTGAAAAAAAAATTGTATGCACGGACCACACATCTGAAGTGAAGGTTCTTTTCTTAAAACGCCTAAGATTAAGTGGTGCATAAGGCACAGGGAATGGAGCAGCGCACGCATCACACACATACATCGACCTCCGTGGCCGAGTGGTTTGTACGCCGGGTTTCATGGTGTCGCCGACTCAAGAGGTCCCGGGTTCGAATCCCGGTGAGGGCAGTTGTTTGTGTGATGAATACGTGCATTTGTACTCCAGTCGTGGATGTTTAATATGTATTTCTATATAAAGTAACTTATATATGTACAATATATGTATTCTATCCGTTAACCTAGTATCCCATAACAAAAGCCTTATAGTGCTTACTTTGGGGCTAGGCTAATTGGTGTGTGTGTTGGAAATATTTATTATTATTATTATTATACATATATTGTCACGTGTGACGCTCGTAGCGTTTTACCTATCGCCGAGTTACCCTGCAACTTTCATGCTCGTTGGGAAGAGCTGCGCACGTATCCCACACACAGACACACTAATGACACAATAATGTAATGGAATGTTTATTAAAACATTAAATTTCACCCTATATATATATAGGCGTGTGACGCTCTGACGCATTTTCGTTTCATCTTATCCATGGGATTTTTCCATTTACACCCCGTCAGAAAAGAAGTTGCACTTCAAAAAATTTATTAAGGTTTTTAAGGAAAAAAACAAAAGAAAATCTAAATAAAAAAAACAGGCAAAAGACTGAACTCAAACCTGATGAACCAAAAGGACACACTCGCGTTACTCTGAAAGCGGTAACGCCCAGCACGATCTGGCGTGAGTCATTCATATCGTGTGCCTTATTCTGTTTTCAATAAAAAACAATTAAATAAATAAATATTTTATAAATCCTATTTCGTGCGGTCGTGTCGTCCTTCGTCCCTTCTGTCACAAACCGGAAGTGAGCAGGGGAAAATTGGGAAAATTTGTCCACCGCGTGACAACTGAAAAGGAAATTCTTGGTTTACACCGTGGTGTGAGAGAGTGCTAAAAGGGATTACTAGAAATAATGGAATTTTACCGCGAACTTTTGGGGATGGCAAGCAAGCATTAGGCCTGCCTGATGGTAAGCGGCCATAAAAGCTTAGACCCTTGCGATACCTTTATATTCGCGTTGTCTTTTATACTTTACTTTATCGATACTTTTAAAAACAAGTGACTAAATAATGTTCAGATGAAAATACGAGTAAAGTAAGTTCTAAAAGTTCAAGTTTTAATAAAGGAGCTGATAGTGTTATGTTGTTAAGGGGCCATCAAGACTTTTTTAAAGTGTCATTATGCATGTCTCCCCACTGCAAGTTTTATGTGCAAATAATATGTTTTGGTGCTGGTCAAACATCAAGTCAACGTTAACTATTCATTATGCTGTCAACTGCTTGAGAAGTTTTAACTTATTTGGGTGTTAAGTAGGCGCTCTTTAAGTTAAAGAGCGCCTTTTTATCTTAAACAAAAAACAGTCATTATGAGATAATTGAAAAACGTAGAGGGACATGGAGCTTCATTTTTGAATCACTCGTCTGACATAGTATCGTCGAATGCGACATAAGTCACCTTCGACTTTCAAGTTGCATAATACTGATATTCCGTATTTTTGAATCATTCGTCACCGGTGTCACCTGTTTAATAGGAAATGTAAAATTTCACTCATTTCACGCAGAAAAAATAAAAACCGGTAATTACCGCAATGAAAACTGAACAAAAAATCTCGTTGTCATTTCATATAAAGCATGACAATGATAGATCATCGTCGTCTACTAGCACAAAAAATTTAACAATTATTCTATCATTCGCCTCCACCATTCGCCATGCAGCGAGTGATCTCACCCAGTCGTTGCACTCGAGCGATTCAAAAATACGGAATTAATTATGTCGAATGAAATTTAGTAGAAATCGAGCGTTCGACACAAGAAGAGTGATTCAAAAATAGAGCTCATGGTCTGACACAAGCTATAATCATTGTTTATTTAAATTCAAAATCAAAACACAAAAACCAAATATAGCCTACAAGATTAAGGTTTGGGTGCATGCGTATTTTCATTATGTAACTAGCTTTCCGCCTGCAGATTCGCTTGCCAGTCACTTAGCATTACAAACTAGCTAAAATATTGGTGAATGAATGAGCCCATGGTTAGAATTAAAACTTTATTATACAAGATTTTGTTTGGAAACCCATCCCATTTAAGAAATTACGAAGTTACATATGTTCATTCCTTACTTTATTCTCTTGTAGGACTTCAATGAAACATAGTGTCATTTTTAGGATTTCGTAGTCCTGACAAGAAACCCTTATAGTTTCGTCATGTCCGTCTGTCAGTCCGTCCCCGGTTTTGCTTGGAGGCTATTATCACTAGAGAGCTGTAATTTTGTTTAGATATGTATATCCATCATGCCGACAAAATGGTAGAGTAAAATTTAGATTTTTTTTATGGTCACTTAAGTTTTCCTAAATGACTATATTTCGATTTTGGGATCTGTTTGCGAAATATTGAACTTTAAAGTGTTAATTTTTGTTCGTGTAGGGCAGGGCAGGGCGTCCCCCTCATTTGCGGTGTAGGACCCCATCACTGCTCTCAAGCCGACTGGAGGATTAAGAGCTTACCCATCAACCAATAAAAAAAATACGCTGTACCTTACCTACCTTGTTATTCTTATGTATAGAAATATAGGTACTTGTTTATGTCTATTATTTATTACAGAAAGGTCACATCATACCCTTTCATAAAAACATGCGACTATTCACTCTCAAAAAAGAATAATAAATATTCTTATTTCGAAACTTGTCTACATTTATTCAATTTAATAGACGTGTGCATTGTGTGCCTGACCTTAGTTTGTACTCTAAAACTTTTATATCACTGCATATCTTACGCAACTCATCGCTTACAGCATCAAATGTTGAATATTGCTTAATGGAAGATTCGCAACATACTATAAATAAATTATTGACTACAAAACTCCAGAGAATCTACATTAATCCTATAAAAGAAGATCTAAGTTTTTTTGAGTTGTTATTGCCGCATATTTATTTTATTTTGTAATGATTCCTCACTAAAATGACATTATCTGACAATAGTGTTTCTGTGGCGAGTAAGTTTCCAGGCACAGAGCCCAGGAGTGGTTCCAGGGCTCCACGGTGTTAGGGGTCGGGCAAGGACGGCAAAGTGAAGATGGCTGGAATGGCACATTTTCTGCCGCATGATTTATTTTAGCAACAGGACTTACACATGGTTAGGATATCTGCCGCCCTTTGAATAAAAAAAGAAAACGACCCCTCTATTCTATTTTGCAACTATTTTAAAATAAAATAGAATGTATATGAGCACACTTGCCAATATTAAAAAAAATAAAAAAGTCATCAAATTCACCCTGCTTGATATGGGTGACTCTTAAATTGGCAATACCAGAGCAATTTCGGGCCTGACGGGACCTACGCTTATAAGCACAAGTAAATCTATTTGCCAAAATTCTAAAAGTTTGCTTTTTGTGCTTGTTAAACAATAAACAACTTGCCTATCCTACCTTGTTTGTTTTTTTTTTAATTATGCAAACGTTTGGTTCGGAACAATACCCCTTTGTCTTTCTATAGTGTTAAATAGAAAATCTTAAAAAAATTAATAATAAAAAACATAAAATTTGCATGTCGTGTATCAATTAAATTACTTGTTGTTAGAGATGCTTTATTTTACAAAATAAAAGGCCTAGTCATAACTTTACTTAGTTACTGAGCCACCCACCCTGTCCAGAAGTTTTTTATGTACCTTCTTAAAGTTGGAAATAAAAGTTAGTGTAGTATATATTATGATTTCGTTCTCTTTAAATTCAGAATGGGGTATCATTATTCAGATTGTGTAATTTGACGACTTAAACATATTTCTGTATGTTTTCATTATACATTTTTTTATAATAAGAGCAAGCAATAAAACATATTAATTCACATTAACTCACCCTTAAGTGGTATTCGGCGGTCTGGTTTCGTAACCCATTCTCCATTCGGAGGAGCAGACATCAAGAGCCTTTTGTATAATAAATCGATTAACCATCGTTACAGCATGTGGGCCAAGCTATACTGGACTCTTGCGAAAACCCACCATTATGATACGCGAGGATACAGTCCCGCCACAGATATAAGAAAGTCACTATGCTTAATGTGGACAAAATGAAGATTAGCCCGATTAGCTGCAGGTGCCAATTCAAAGAAATGATTATAGACAATCAGCAAAGCAACTTTCGTTCTCTAACACAGTTACTTACTGAGAATTTATTGTGAAATCTAAGTTACTGACAGATAGCTACTTTTGAGAGAGAATAAATAAATGTAGACTGCTCCGAGTAGTAAGTAGGTAAATATAATAAAAAGCACAGAGCATTATTAAAAAAAATCGTCATGCTCTGCGCGCCACAAAACGAAATCAATTATTAGGCACATCATTGAAAATAGATATATATATATATACATATGTAATAACATCTTATTATCTTTTCGTATTAGTTAAGATTGTTTCTGATGACTCATTATGACTAGATAGGTACTTGACTGTTCAAAATAGTCGTAGGGTGACTTAGCCGGAACTACTAAAAACCGGAGGTAGCCGGCAAACCAGCGGAGTTATCCAAATTTTTGTAAACGATATCACTGTTAACATAAACAAATTATGTTTACAACTAAATATGAGTTACATTTTTTTTAAATCAAAAGGGTGGCACACAATCGTATTGGCCCGCCTGACGGTAAGGGGCCAACATAGCTATAGTCGCTTGTGATACCAAAAATATCACTCGCACAGTTGCCTACCATGACTGTCAGAAACACAACATCACCAAAAGTTAGTGTTCTTTTACTGTGATCTGTCAGGTGGAGGTTACACCTCAGACCGGCGGTCCAATTCGAGCGGGTAATCCGCTATGCCCACCTCTCTAAAAATAATATAAAATTTGATATTCATGCTATTGCGTTAACCTT